ACGTAAGGTAGATAGCCAGTGGGAAGCAGCCGCATGGCACAGGGAAACCGGCTCGGTTCTTTGTGGCTGTCTGGAGGGGTGGGATAGGGAGGGTGGGAGGGAGGGAGACAAAGAGGGAAGAGATATGGGAACATATATATATGTATAACTGACTCACTCTGTTATAAAGCAGAAACTAACACACCATTGTAAAGCAATTATACCCCAATAAAGATGTTAAAAAATAAAAAAAAAGAAAAAAAAATAAAAAAAAAATAAAAAGGAGAATGGGGAGAGAGGCAGAGGCAAGCTATCTGCTATTGCAAGAGAGACTGCACTCTTAAAAAAGTAGCAATGGAGCAAAGGTAAGAAATCTGAGATATTTACAAGGTAGAATCAATAGGTACTAAAGACTTAATTGGATATTGGTTTGGTAAAGGATTGTGAAGAGTTTTTGACAATGCTCAGAATGCTGGCTTAAGTAACTGAATGGGATACCAGTGCTACAGATAAGGACAGAAGACACAGGAAAAGTATCTCCTTTGGGTGGAAAGATAAGGTGTTCAGATTTGAACTTGTGGAGACTGAGGTGCCTGTAGTACATCCTAGCAGCTAGGAAAGTGCTTGGCTAAAGTACAGTTTTATAACTTCTCCTTGAATAGATGCCTTATGTTTACTAATTTTTGATTCCAAAAGGCTGGTATCAGTGACTTGGACTCATCTATTTGCCTCTAGGTTGCAAAGTTTGATTTCCCTGTTTTGAGAGACAGATATAAATTTCTAATTGAGCATGATGAAAAGAATTGTGCTTCAGCAAAAGACCATGAATAGCCAAAGGAATCCTGTGAAAGAACAACAAAGCTGGAGGTATCATATTTCCTGATTTCAATCTATATTACAAAGCTACAGCAATCCAAATAGTATGGTACTGGCATAAAAAGAGACATGTAGACCAATGGAACAGAATTGAGAGCCCAGAAAAAAACCCATGCATATCTGGTCTATGAATATTTGACAAAGGAGCCAAGAATACTCACTGGGGAAAGGATACTCTCTTCAATAAACGGTGCTGGGAAAATCAGATAACTACATGCAGAAGAATGAAACTGGACCCCTATCTTATACCATTCCCAAAAAAAGAACTCAAAATGTATGAAAGATTTAAACATAAGACCTGAAACCATGAAACTCCTAGAAGAAAGCATAGAGGAAAAAACTTGACATTGGTCTTGGCAATAGTTTTTTAGATATGACACCAAAAGCACAAGCAACCGAAGCAAAATAAACAAGTGGGATTACTTCAAACTTAAAAACTTCTGCACAGCAAAAGAAACAATCAAAAAAATGAAGAGGCGACCTGCAGAACAGGAGAAAATATTTGCAAACCATATACTGGATAAGGGGTTAATATTCGAAAAAATAAGGAAATCCTACAATTCAATGGTAAAACCACAAATAATCCAATTAAAAAATGTGCAAAGGACCTGAACAGACAGTTTTCCAAAGAACATATACAAATGGCCAATGGGTATAGGAAAAGATGTTCAACATCACTAATCATCAGGGATATGCAAATTAAAACCACAACGAGATACCACCTCACACCTGTTAGAATGGCTATTATCAAAAACAAAAACACAAAACCAAAAAGCCCCCCAAACCAAGAGATAATATTGGCAAGGATGTGGAGAGAAAAGTGAACCTTTGTACACTGTTGGTGGGGAAAGTATATTTGTAAAGCCACTATGAAAAGCAGTATGGCGGTTCTTCAAAAGATTAAAAACAGAACCACCATATGATCTATCAATTCCACTTCTGGGTATATATCTGAAGGAAGTGAATCATTATCTTGAAGAGATACTTGCATTCCCATGTTCTCTGCAGCATTATCCAGAATAGCCAAGACATGGAAACAAAGTGTCCATCAACAGATGAATGGATAAAGAAAAGTGGTAAATACACACACACACACACACACACACACACACACACACACACACAATGAAATATTATTCAGCCATAAAAAAAAGGAAATCCTGCAATTTGTGACAATATGGGTGGCCATATAAGGCATTATGCTAAGTGAAATAAGTCAGACAGTAAAGGATAAATCCTGTATGTTCTCACTTACATGTGGAAACTAAAAGAGCTGAACTCACAGAAACAGAGAGTAGAATGGTGGTTGCCAGAGGCTGGGGTGGAGGGTCGGGGAAATGGGGAGATGTTGGTCAAAGGGTACAAACTTCCATTTGTAAGATGAATAAGTTCTGGGGATGTAACGTACAACATGGTGACTAAAAATAACAATACTGTATTACATACTTGAAAGTTGCTAAGCGAGTAGCTCTTAAATGTTTCAACACACACACATACACACACGGTAATTATGTAAGTTAATGGGAGGTGTTAATGAACGTTACTGTGGCAATCATTTTGCAATATATATGTGTATCAAATCATCACGTACAACGTAAACTTACACAATGTTATATGTCACCCATATCTCAGTAAAGCTGGGGAAAAACAGAATTGCAGAGCTTCAGGGTTGATGCATTTCCTGAGCAAATTTCAAACCAGTGTTTTTTCAAATTGCAATCTGCTTCTACCCTACACACAATACTGCTTTCCTAGAACTATGCTAAACACTTGACACAGACAATATTTGCATCTTATAGAAAAAAAAATTCTGATGTTTGACAGCCGAAAGATATTATTTGGATATTCTGTTAAAGTTTTTTTTTTTTTTTGCGGTACATGGGCCTCTCTCTGTTGTGGCCTCTTCTGTTGTGGAGCACAGGCTCTGGACGCGCAGGCTCAGCGGCCATGGCTCACGGGCCCAGCCGCTCCGCGGCATGTGGGATCTTCCCAGACAGGGGCACGAACCCGTGTCCCCTGCATCGGCAGGTGGACTCTCAACCACTGCGCTACCAGGGAAGCCCTAAAGGGTTTTTTTTAATTTGTTTTTTTTAATCCCAGGACCTTGTGAAGTGTCTGGCACAAAGTGAGTACAAGTGATCATATTTTGAGGTGATAAATATCTGAGGATCCCTTAGATCTAGAAACTTGATGAAACCATGTAAAATAATGAGAATAAACACTGTTATTACCTCATCTTGGTTAGACACCCTCTTGCCTCTTCTATGCCAGATAAGGAGAGAACAGGGACATATGTCAGGGTGATGTGCCCTGTTCCAGCTCTACCTTAGAGGTACAGGTCAGAGAATAGTGCCAAAGACTGTGTTGGAATGCTTTCCTCACAACTTTACAATGCTAGAGATATAAACTGACAAAAAATGCACAGGTTGTAGCAGGGAGTGGTGTGAGATTTCCTGTCTCTTCATATTTGAGATGAGAGAGAAAGCATGAAAGTAGTTACACATGTTCTGTTTGCTTCATTAAGAAGATCTGAGATAAGGTTTGTGGTTCTACATATAGCGATCATCAAGCCAGCCTACAATGCATTATCTACAAGAAAACAATATTTACTAAAAGTGGTTCAAGTCAGATAAAAGAGTGGCATGGTTTTGTACTGAAGTACTATAATTGTCAATCACCCTTTTTAAGTTACATGAGTTATTTGGTTTGGCAGATTACCACTGTGATTTTTTTCCCCAATAACCTTCTTCTTTTTACAAAGGATCTGGTAACTATAATAATATATGTAAAAATGTAGGTACTTTCTCCCGGAAGGCCCACCAGAATTGCATTGAAGCACTTGGCTGGACCTTCTGCCTCATCACAGCTGAGGCATGTGGCTAAGCTGTCTGGATGTCAAGAATGCAGGGTTGCTGCATCACAGACAAGCCCAAGGGAGAATGCTGGGGCTGAATGGCATTCATCAGCAAAGAGGGCCAGGTTCTACAATGACCAAAAGGACATGGGGAAATTGAATGGGATCAAGCAACTGAGAGAAAGGCCAGGGAGGGTCAAAGTCAAGTGCTGTATGATAAATGGTTGTGGACCCAAAGGGCCTAGTACTCTCTAGCAATAAATATGCCTGGGGAAAGAGGGCAGGCAGATGCAAGGGACAAGTTAACAAAGTAGTCAAGGGTAAGAAAGATACTGAATGAAACAACTGTGTTCAAGAAAGCACTACAAGAGACCAGTGTAAAATTTATGAACTGTGAAAGAAGCAAATGCAGAAGAGGGCATTCTCCTTCTCCTATGAACCTACTATAAGCTTCAGAGAGTAACAAATTGCATGGGTTTTGGAAGTCAGAGATCAGTGCAGATCACAGAGGAGTTTCTGATAGGTGGGACAGGTAATTGATTAACACCAGATGGAACCCTGTTGGGAAATTAAATGTCCTACCTGATTCCAGATTCATGAGGGAAAAAGAATTCAGATGTCAAAGTAGGAATAAATTTCCCAGGAGAGAAGGTGACCTTGGAAGGAAGCAGGGTTGACCTTGAACAGGTGTTAGGAATTGCCACATTTGTGTAGTGGAAAACATACAGCTGTTGGGAGTACAGCTAGACCTGAGTTCCAGTCTCAACTCTCCTATTTAACTTTTAAACTTATTCAGTACATAACCTTGGGCAAAGCACTTAACCTCACTGAGCAATTTCCTTACCTACAAAGTCTGTATTAGAAATCCTACACTTAAAGGGCTGTAAAGCCTCTACTACAGTACCTTACACATAATGGGTGCTCCATAAATGATAGCTATTATTACTGTTTTAAATCTGAACCAAATTTATAACCAGAGATGACCTGAGATAGGGAAATTCTTAGAAATTCTTTGAGTTGGAAAGAGTTGACAGCAAAAAAAGTTATAAAAAGCTTGGACACTACCTATTCTAATATCAAATATCTAAATATCAAGAAAGACAAATGAGCTCTAACTGTAATGCTTTTCATTAATAGGATTTTCCTTCTCTCTACAAAATGTGGTATATTTTGTATTAGGAATTTGTGGATGGTGTGAGAAAGATTGCCATCACATGGGCCCTGAGACTTAAATTATTTTAATATATATATTTTAACAAAAAAGACAGTTTTAAGAAATCTAGAAATTTACCTGATGAGGTCCTGAACTCGACTGTTAAAAGCATCACCTTGTGAGGGTTTGCTTTTCATTTCCTGTGTTGATATTTTTGGTGTAATTGGCTGGCTGTTTCCATCTGGTCGATTGGCAATCAGGCAGCCAAAAACCACAGCACTGACTTTGAGAAGTCCAGTTGTCAAGCCTTCGAAAACTTGCTTATTTGTATTTCTTCCCAAAATAGCATTACTCTCATCTGGAACATAAACCTAGATAGAAAAAAAATACAGTAATTGTGTTTCAATAAAACCACCAAAAATGAACAGAGATGATATGGAAAATTTCTGGAATCATAGATAATTCTGAAATTATAGAGGTGCCATCTGAATGTTTGAGTATTGGTTCTAAGGTCAGATTGTCGAGTTCAAATCTCAGCTTTGCGCCCGCTAGCTGGGTGACCTTGGGTAGGCTGTTACTTCCAATCTTCAATTTTCTCATTTATAAAGCATGGATAATGACATTACCTATAACATAGGGTTCTTGTGAGGATTAAATGAGCTAATAACATAAAATGCTTAGCTCGTGCCTAGGTGCATAATAAGCACCCAATAAATATTAGTTATTCAATTGAATAAAGTATATTACAAAGTTGTAGAAACTCAGAAAACAAACCAGTTGGTAAACTGACAGCACTGTTTCTTGTTAAAGTGAATTTAAAAAATATCTAATCTAAATTCCTCTCTTAGGAAAAAATTTGCATTTCTTATTACAAAATGGTAAAATAGTTTTTTGCCTAATACATAAGGTCATATTGAGCTCTGTTTATTTATGGTTTACAGGAAGTAATATGCCTGTTAAAAGTTGGACAAGGAGTCAGAACCTGGGCTTGGGTTCTGGACTTGCAGCTATATGTGATCTTAGACATGTTCCTTAACCTTTCTGTGTCTCAGGTTCCTAAACTGTTAAATGAGGATAATCTTAGTATCTAATGAATCAACATATGTAAATTCTTAGAACAATGTTTGGCACATAGGTAAGTCCTACAGAAGTGTCATCTGCTACTATAACGGCTACTCTTACTGTGATTCCTACTATTACCAGAAGTAAATACTACTGTGTGTGAACATCAGCTCTTGCAGAGAAGTACAGCTCTTGTAGAAGTACAGTGGCTAGATACATAATTACCAGGCTGGGAGCTCTGTGCCTTGGCATGTGATACTGGCTACACAAGGGTTCACTCTTCCCACGGAGAAGAGGGGCTCCTGAAGGCCTCACTACCAAGAAAGGGGCAGAAACAAGAAGCTAAAGGTGGGGAGAAAGGAAGTTTGGACTTGGAATCAGATAGCACTGTATTTAAGTTCCAGTTCCTCCTCCAGCACGTCACATGACTGTATGTAAATACTCCACATTTCCAAGCTTTGGATTCTGTATCTGTCTACCTACTAGGACTACCATGAAGTTCAAATAAGATGACGAATGGGAAATCACTTGGTAAATTATTACTAATAACTTCAAAAATGCACTTACTTAGTAACAACTAGTCTTTGCCTCATTCTCATTCTTTATCTGCACCAGTTCTATCAAAAGATAGAGGAATAAATGATCACTAGGATTCAAAAGGAAGATCTTCATAAACACAAGCAAATACTCCCTCCATTGTTTATAGTTGTTGTTCATTTAGACATTCCATGAAAGTTACTTTTCTGAGAATAGCCTTGTTTAAGACTGTTGACCATCTCTAACCACTGAGCAATTCCTAAGCCAAAGTAATTACAGTAGAATCTTTCTGCAGTATGTGCTGATGGAAGTTCCCTTTGAAACTCTATGAAACAGTCACAGAGCTTCTTCAAGCTGTGACTAGCATAATCTAGCCTATCCCAATACAGAAGGTGGTATTAGGAGTTGAGTTTGAATCAAGGATTTCCGTATAAGTCAGGATAAGCTAGGTTATGCTGCAGTGAAAAATTCCTCAAAAATTTCAGTGGTTTCAAACAATAAAGCTTTATTTTTCATTCAAATGACATGTTCATCTGAGACTGGCTGGGGCTCCTGTTGTCCTTACTTCGGAGCCTAGGTGACAAAGCAACCATCATTTAGAGCAACAACGCCCAACAGAACTTTCTAAAATGATTGAAGTGTTTCAATCTATACTGTTCTACATCTGCACTTGTCACATGTGGATAATGAGTACTTCAAATGTAGTTAGTGTGACATGGGACTGAATTTTTAATTTTAGTTAATTTTAATTTAAATAGTGGCTAGTGTATTGAACAGTACAGAGGACTGTAGGTCACAGTGGCAGAGAGCAAAAAATATCTCTGGAGGGTCTTGTGTCAACATTAAATGAGCTGCCTGGAAATGACACATCATTTTTGCTAAGAACTTATTGGCCAAAACGAATCACATAGTCCAATTCAACCACAAGGGAGACAAGAAACGTCATTCTACTATGTACTTGGTAAGAGGGGGAGAATCAGAACATCTGGTCCACAGCACTACCAACAGCATAATATTGTTTCTTCCATTATGACTACAAATATTATTCACAGTTAAGCTATTTAGTAAATGGTTACATTTACTTTCTTGTACAAATTTTTGGTTTCACTCAGATGTTGAATTTCTTATGTATGTATCACTAGTTCATTGTCAATCTTTCTGGTTAAAATGGAATTTCCTCTCAAGTTCAAACACATCAGGGATTGTTGATTCTTTTTCTCCCTCCAATGGAGACAATTGTCCTGAAACCGCCATCCTCCTGCTGTAACCTGGACTCGTTGCTCTCTAGGCATACTACACAGCTCTCATTTTGAGATGCCCTTCATCTTCATCCTAAGAATTCCTTCCACCCCCACCCCCCGACCCCAAGTTAGATTCCTTTATTTCTTGGATTCCAAACAACTTCCAAAGAAAGGGTGCATGGGAAGAAAAATTTTGAGACCTTGTATGTCTGAAAGTATATTTATTTCATCCTTATACTTGACTGATAGTTTGGATGGATATAGAATTCTTGGTTGGAACTAATATTGGTTGGAACTAATTTTCTTTCAGAGTTTTTTTTAAAAATAAATTTATTTATTTATTCATTTATTTTTGGCTGCGTTGGGTCTTCATTGCTGTGCATGGGCTTTCTCTAGTTGCGGCGAGTGGGGGCTACTCTTCGTTGTGGTGCGTGGGCTTCTCACTGCAGTGGCTTCTCTTGCTGTGGAGCATGGCTCTAGGTGCGCGGGCTCAGTAGTTGTGGCTCGTGGGCTCTAGAGCGCAGGCTCCGTAGTTGTGGCACACAGGCTTAGTTGCTCCGTGGCATGTGGGATCTTCCCGGACCAGGGCTCAAACCCTGCATTGGCAGGCAGATTCTTAACCACTGTGCCACCAGGGAAGTCCCTCTTTCAGAGTTTTTAAGGACTGCCCCATTGTTTCCTACTTTAAGTACTGCTCTTCATAAGTCCAATTACTTCCTAACGTTTTTGTATATGTCCTATTTTGTCCTCTCTGGCAACTTTTAGGCACTCCTTACCCCTGATTTCTTCTGTTGTGGTATAGGTCTTCCTTCATTTTTTGTTCAAAAACTCAGTGGTCTTTTCAATCTGAAAGTCATGTGTTTCACTTCTGAAGATATCTCTTGTATTACTTCTTTGCTAATTTCCTCTCATTTATTTTCTCTGTTGGATTTTGGTCCTGAACTGAGTCTTGAATTTTCTTGTATTTTTTTCTTCTGCTTTTCATATCTTTTTACTTTGTCCTACTTCTTAGGCAATTTCCTTAACTTTATTTTCCAGTCCTTCTGCTGAATTTTTCATTTCATCAATAGTATTTTTAATTTTCAGGAGTTCTTTTGGGCTCCCTGTTTTGTTTTTACAGTACTTTGTTTTTGCTTCATGGCTGCAATACTTTCTCATCTCTGTGAAATTCTAATTTTTAAAGATATTCTTTTGCTTCCTGCATGGTCTTTGTTTCCTTTGAGTTCTTTCTTTGTATTTCAGGTTGTAGGCTTTCCTTAAATATGTGGTAATCTGGAGATTTCTGTTCATACTTAAGATTAATGCATAGATGGATTTCAGTGTTTCACAATCTAGATCTAATCACAAGCTGGATACAAAGTCAGCATGAGGGGCTTCAGTTTGGATGACTAAGCAGAGACCCAGCTGGGGAATCCCAACTGTCAATATTTATAGGTCTATTCTCCTGGGACAGTTAGTGTCACAAGAATGGAATCCTATGCCCTCTAACCCTAGAGTATATGACATGGCCTGCTCATTTTCTCAGAGGTTCATAGAAGGGGCTGAGTGTCTCAGTGTTTAAGGAACAGATTTTCACTTAATCATTTTGTTTTTGTATGATTTCTGTATGGCTGTACCTGGTGCCCCCATGTCCTGAGTAACTTTGGTTCAACCTCTTGTCTTCTGCCAGTGTTTGGGGAGGGACATTCACTTGGCTGTACATGTAGCAGATGGGATCTAGGGCATCTGAACTGCCTCTTATTTAGACTTTCAACCAATCCTCCTCTTTCCAGCCCTACTTGTACCCTCATTTTCTGAGATACTTGGGAACGCTAATTTTTGAGCCTTCTGGGGTTATGTGGCACAGGTTTTCTTCCGGTAGGAAGACCTCCTGCTAATTGAGGTTTTAGCTTTTAGGCAACTGTTTTTCAATCATCTGCTTTACAGATTAAAACATACTTGCTTTCCTTTCCTTCCCATTCTCTTTGTCTTTGAGGGGTTAGAATTTTACCTGTTTAACTATTTACTATAATATTAGTGGGGGCCTCCAGAGAGAGAGCATGTAACTTGTGTGTTCAATTGGCCACATTTAAAAATTAACTCAATAAATCACCTAAAGACACAAGTTTCTTTTTCTTTTACAAACTACAGAAAGAATATGAGAAACACATTTCTGGGTAATGTCAGGGTTCTTCATACATCACAGATTTTCATACTCCTTTCTTTTCAAAAACCTTGTATTGATATTAAGTATTTCAAATAAAACACTATACATGTGCATTTAGCAATCTTTCACTTCTCTAGAAGTATTTTATCCAATAATTGCATCTTTTAAGAATATAGTTGAGAATCACAAAGACATTAAAGACTTCTGAGATACCCAAATTAGTGTCATTTATTTAATCACCTGCTCATCTAACATTTGAATATCTACTACATCCATGGTCAAAGGAATAAAGTGATGCTCCGCTTATTCTAAGGGTCATTTAGACCCTGTATACTTTGATTTTACAAATAAGTGTAGAAAGCTGTGGTTTACTGGTTTATAGTAG